CAAATGATTGACGGAAAAGGAAACCGTAAATTAACAATCGTTCACCTTATTGGACTCATACATCGTAAAATTGATCTCATAGCACTACTATCTAGTCGGGAAAGCATAAGAAAATAAGAACACCGAGTTTTTCTCCGTTACTAAACTATCTCACACCGATCTCCTCGTTTCCCCAATATTTTTAATCCTCTGAACTTTTATCTGATACTTTTAATCTTGACCACTAACAGTTCTCTTGCAATAACCGATCACCACAAATTACACCCTTCCTTTTGTACCTCTTAATCCCCTTCCTCTTAAATATCTATTTACATTGGCTTCATTGGTGGAACCGTACATTTAGTGGAACTGTATATAGAATGCCGTTACTCTCTCAGTCTTTTCTGGGTTACCGAATAATTGCGAAATCAACACGCGTCATCATATCTAAGATAAAACACAATAAAGTGACCTAGGCTAAACATAATGAATAACCAAACATGGTAATAAGAAGATATCGATATGTATAAAATAGGAAATAAATAATAATAATAATAAATAACAATAACGACAAACGTTTATTCAAGGTATTACAATGTAACATTTAAATAGCGCAAGGGTACGTACTGTAATCAATAGATATTAAGTCGTTCCATGAACCCAGTTTAGAAGTATTCCAGCCTTAATCTCGTAAAAAAACTACCACGTTCTTGTCTAACTAGTTAGTAACTAATATAACATTTGAACTACTATTTCAAAACCATTATATACTACTAATCCAAATAAGATAAACTAGTTTGAACCACAAATAGATCATGCTAACTATTTAACATTAGTGATCGATAATCTTAAATTAACAGGGGATTTGCAATTTAATGTGATCAAATATAAGCCAAGTTTATCATTCTAATCGCTTCGATAAGATATCGATGTGCTTTGGTCATCAACTGTAGGAAAGAACTTTTTTTTTTAACGGTGGTATTATATAATCTGGCGACTTTTAAGGGAAATAATCAATGTATTCTAGGATCAATCGGGTTCTTTAAGGGCTGGGTCCAATGAGATGAAAGTTAGTGAATCAATTTACGGGTTTTTTCTTTCCGTTACTCAAGTATTAAAAATTAATTATTCTCATTTGGGATACAATAATATTATGTGTTTGTTTATTATTATGGTTACTATCTCATAATATTTCATTATTACTTTTTAATAATTTATTTTAAGAAGTCTTGCAATATCCACAACGAAAAGTTACTGTAAATGGTCGTAGATAAGATTCGGGTCTGTTACACCTCTAATAGACCTGTGGGTCTATTGTATAGAACTTGGTTTTTATGCGAAGGGTCTAATATTAAATAATATATAAAAATACATTATATTTAATTGATATTATAATATCTTGACCTATATAATATAAGTGTAAGAAATAAATAGTGCTGATAAAACGTCTAAAAAAATAAATGCAGGAAATTATACACCAACTGAAATTAAATATAGAAAGTTTCCACTTTTGTTTCAATAAAAAAAAAAAACTATAGAAGCTACATTTAAGGGTTTTACCTTTATAATGGGATGCGGGTCAAAAACCCCGACAAACAAAATACTGACAGGTCAGAATCCTGACAAAAAATCCCGACAGTCAAAAATCCCAGCAAAAAAATCAAACAAAATCCAGACAGTCAAAAATCCGACAATTAAAAATCCCAACAGTCAGAATGTTTAAATAGAAAATCCCAAATATGGGGGTATGTTTAAAGCGCAATAGACTCATAATTTGATTAACTTTAGGGTTAGATAAGGATTAGGCTAGGGTTAGCTATGATTTATGACATTTTTTTCAGAAGTTTTATTGTCAGATTTTTGGCTGTCAGGATTTTGTTTGATACAAACCCGTAGAATATAATGCATATATAGTAAAAATTTTATTATTTTTGCAGAAATTTTATTCGCACACAATATTAGACTTGCTTTTGGAATTGGAACATTTCCTAGACAAGTGGTAAAAAGACTATTAAACATTCTTATAGATATTTGTTTATTGTTTTAATATATACGGAAATCCTAAACGCTAAATAATAATAGTAAAACTATCTATATGATTGAACTCAAGTTTGATAATATCATAATAAAATCTACTGAAAACTCGTTAAAATTTAAACCAATGATCAAATTCGGGGACTAATCCTAACTTTCAACTCTTTACAGTTAGCAACAATTCCAGCAACGTATTTAAATGGTTTAAATGGTTCATCTGTATCTGTTAATTCAATGTTATAGTTTTTATATATTAATACCATTAATATAAGCATCCCAGCTTTCTTCCAGTACAAAGTCGTTGGCCTCCGCCAAACATCAAGAAAAGACGTTTATTTCCTTGATCATCTTGTCATAAAACCTATCCGGATCGAAAACTGCAAGATTAGACCAAAACTTAGAGTTACGGTTTACTCCTAAGAAATTCAAACGAAACAGTATTTGCAAACTTGCAACTTCATCTTCTTCACTAATGCAGCGGGTTATAAAGGTTGCTACTGGTATTATGCGATTAGCTTCTTTAATTATGTCTTCATGATATTTTAGTTTTGTGAGGTTGACCAGTTATACGTATAAATTATTGGAAGATTTAAGAAAGATAATTTCTAAAAGCATTTTTTTTGCTTTACATGTGGGTATTACAAAGATAGTAATTTATAAAACAGAATGTGCTTGCAGTTTAACATGTAGAAAATAGATATTAATAAGTCAATAGCAAGTAAAAATATTAAATATTAAAGTAAAAGTAATACCCACATGTTCCGTTTCAGTCAAAAAAGCACCTAATAAATTGCCTTTGATCACATCATTACAGGTCCATCTTCTGTTTCTACAATAGTACTCCTCGAAGTGTTTGCGGTAATTGGGGAGGTTGCATATATACACTCATTTCTGCATTTATTGCCATTTCTTCAATCTCTTCTTTTTTTTAATTATCTTCCAAATATGTAATCACAGTTTTTTAATAGCTCGTTGATTTACTCCTAGTTATTGGAAAGTAATGTCTCATGAATAAGACTTGTGACCTTGAAGAAAAAAAGTTTAGATTTTGCGTGTTATAGTAAGAGGAAATTGAATATGTACGTTCTCCAGTATTGAAATAATATCATTAACATATCCATGAAATCATGCAGCTAAATCTGTTTCCAACACTCAATTATCATTATTATTTGAAGTATTTGGCTTTCCAAGAGACTGCCAATTCTTAATGAATTTATTTACAGACTTTACAGCCGCATCCATAAATTAGGTCCAAATAGTACCTAAGTAAAGAATTGTTATTAAATTTCCAACTCTTAAAATCTACATTGAAAGCAAGTCCACATCCATAGATTCCCATTTCATCTAACCCCTGCGAATATAGATTCTTCTTAAAAATTTTGCTGGAATAGAAATTTTTTAATGTCTTCTATCCGTGAGAATATCACTTCATTGATATCTCCATATTTCTGTTGACATTGTTTGTACATGAACCTATATCGTATCTGACATTATGAATGTTTCCAATGAATTGTAAAGGCAATGAATTGGGGTCGGGTAAATATTTGAATACAATGATTAGTATTAAAACAAAAGAGACATCTGTGATGCTAATGGATTCAATAATCCTTTGAATAGTCATTTTTTATTTAAACTATATTCACTTGTACAGCCAAATATATTTTTAAGAATCAAGTTTTTATTTTTTGCGATATTGGGGGTCCGTTTAAATAACCTTTTTTTTTTATCAGTGCCAATTATATCAATCAAATATTTTTGCCTAGAATATCCAATCCCCGTAATAAAGGAAAATGCAGTATATTTTTGACAAAAATTACCATGATCATTAATTTAAACGATACTGAAGTAATAAAAATAATATTTAATCTATATAGGGCTTCAAAATATTCATAAAGTTTGCTGTTTCTGCACAAATTTTGGGTCAAAATTGAAATTTTTTTTCTTTTTTGTTTCTAAAAGAATTAAATCACTATATATAATTCTTATGCATATATTACAGCTGTTTTCATAAATTCTGGGATAAACTAGAAATTTTTTTACTTGTTTTCTGAATTTTCACCAACTTTTCGAAAATTACATCACTGCATCCGGACAGAATTTCGAAGAGTTTAATTCTTAAAACCGAAAAGATTTTCTAAACTAGCAAATTGTTAGTTTTAGAATTTATGAGAACAAGCGTGACGCAGCGTCAGCGTAGTATAATAAAGATGCATGTATATGATGCTAGAATAAATCATCTCGAGAAGTAATTGTATTTGGAATCACCATAGGATTGTTTTAACCGGTGGTTTGTTGCCTGCAAAAACAGTCCGTAGGTTAAGAAAATGATAGAATCACATGGCGGTAGTCATCCTTCTTCGAGCTGGTTGGGCAGATCGAACAAAGAATTTTTTAGGTTAATCACAAAAGAACATGCATTCATTTATTTTTCCCGGTTTTAGATCATTTGATTACTTACTTGCACCAGTCACCAATAAGATTATAAAATCGATCCTAGCCCTAACCTTAACAAGACGATAAGGTTTGATTACTCGAACTGCTGTTATATAAATATGAAATTTAAATAAAACACTAAAGCTTTAAGAGGTTGTGGTTGAGAAACAATGTTATATCACTTGCATATTTAAACAAATTCAAAGAACATCCATTGGTTCAGCCTCCTTGATGAAGTGATCTAAGAAAAAAAAAACCATTACTGTCGACCCTCTCAAAACCGGTATGCATGGTGGACGGATTCTGTATCAGTTTTAGGTTAACGGATTTGAAAACGTCACATGACTAAAGGATCGGAAGCCAAAACAAATTGCAGAATTGGTAACAATTAGGTCGTGGACAGGTCTCTATCATTTTCCCGACAACACTATCCCGACAAACAAAATCCCGACAAAAATTGACCGGAACTAACACTAACCCTAACCTAATGCGGGCTAACTTGTCGGGATTTTGACATTGTAGGTAAAGTGGTGTCGGGAAAATTATAAGTGTATACCCAGCATTGATTTGATTGGCTGATTTTCATGTGACGATAGTAAATGCCATACCTTTATATCATAGGATCAAGAGAAAATTGGAAGCTTAACAAATAATACCTAATAATAAACTACATCATTTGTAGTTACATCAGTTATCGACACAGATTAGTTATTGATCTTATGCATTTCAAACTTAAATTTCAGTCTGATGTAACTTAGTTTTTTACATACTTATCGAATAGATCTTTCTTCTTGCAAAGTACATCCACTAACGCCTTTCCTCCTTATGATCCAAGACAATTCAGAGTTTAAAGAAGTCAGTGTGAAAGCGCATCTGCTAATACTTCTCTTGTCCAAATTATTGTCCAAAATTATCAGCACGTGTTTTCTATCCAAAATCCCCCAAAAAGTCAGTGTGAACATGTATTTACTAGTGTTTTTCCTCTTCTGATCCAAGATAGTTCCGAACAAGTTAACATATGCTCTTGCAAAGTTCATCTGCCAATGCTTCTCTTTCAAATGATCCAAAGTTATTATTGCAATGTGCGTCTACTGCTACTTTCCCCCTTTCTGATCCAATTTTAATCAAAAAAGCTGTGAGACGTTCTTAAAGAATGCCTTCGTTAACAATTTTCTTCTGATCAAAGTTGATAATTCATTAAATCAGGGGGTGTTTCACAATGTGTTTTTTACCACTTACTACATGCAACGTATATACAGAACAATATAAAATAATTTTATTATTTAAAACATTAAGACAATATTATATTACAAACATAATCTATAACTGTGCCTCCAAGCCCGAACAATTTGAAAGCCAGCATGTACAACAAAATTTGAGTCAAGATCTGTATCTAGAATACATATTCAACTTTGGTTGTTTAAAGATGCATTTGGTAGATTATTTTAGTGAGTATGAAGTATTTGATATAAGTTTTTGCAAAATGTTTTGTACTAAGTGCATGTTTTAAATATAATTTATATTAATATCAATTATAATTTCTAATGATTTATAATGATCTAAAATTTAATAAAATTCTGTACTATACAAGTATTCAAAACCAAGGGGATTAATTTAACAATAATTTATCAAATTCTATTCATATTATCAATCAATATGAAAGGTTATATAAATATTAAAATTAAATTTAATTTTGTTAACCAAAATGTTAATGTACTGTACATGACTCATATAATTTTGTAGTAGTCAATTTAGCAATATTAATTTCATGAAAATTTTATTCAGGGGGTTTTTTTTGATAAATATGCGATCTGTTATCCGTTTGCACATTTAAAATTTAACGGATATCCGGATATCCTGGTTTTTAAAATTGATCTTAATGATCTTATAAGATTTTTTTTCCTTCATATATTTTACTTTTGAATTTATATATCGACAATTTTTCAATAGTATAAAATTTAAAAAAATATCGTTATATACT